CCTCGCCAAGGCAAGTCCGAGAGTGAGTGCTGAAAGCCATAAACCGAGAGTGAGAGTCGAAAGCCCTAAACCCTTAGCCTCAGCTCCCGAAGCCCTGAAAGCGGCAGCCCATGGCAGCCCGAGAACCCTGGCGCTGTATAAAGCCCTAAAAGACTGATTCGGGTTTAGGGTTTAGGGGTTTAGGGCAAAAGGCGTAAAAGACTGAAGAATGATCAGTGCTGCTTATCTGGTGTTTTTCAAAGGATTGTTATTTATAGAACTGCTGTGTTTTCGCATTCCGGCTGTTTTTGTTTACGCTGCTTTTTGAAAAATGGTTTCACAAGCGAACAGGGTTGTAGGGCTTTAGGATTTTAGGTCATACCCTAAACCCTAAACCCATTGGTTGTAGGAATTGAAGGCTTCAGAGTTTTAGGAGTCCTATGGCATAGGACTCCTATGCTATCGATGTTTTTTTTTTTGTGGGTGTCTAGGTGTTTTGAAAGGAGTTTACAAGGGCCTTTATAGGGCTTGTATATTATTATAGGGTTGTGTAAGGGTTAATGGTGCAGGGGCGGGGGGGGGGCTTATTTTGACCGTTTGGGGTTTAGCGGTACCCCCTGCGGGTTCCTACAGTCATTGTATAAACCCTGAAAGAGCCCCCCAGGAGTTCGACGATGACGAGGCCATCGTTGAGCAAGGCGAGAAGGATGACAAGATGTTCATTCTGCGCACCTCGGCTTAATCGGCTGGATGGAGGGATAAGGCGTTGGGGTTTGTTGTAGTCGGAAACCCGGAAGAATAATGTTAGTAATTCTTCAGGCATCTACACTAGGCATTCAAGGGGGGGAAGGGGTCTAGAATCTAGAATTTAGTTTAAATTAAGGTGTTAGCCTTGTAATTGCGAGCAGGGATATTTCCAGCGCTGGCCTCCGAGTAAAAGGATGTAGCAAAGAGTTTACAGAGCCAAACCCACAGTGTCTGCGTGTCAGACAGCATTTATGTTTCGTGTCATCATGAATCACCAGTGCGCACATAATGATGCCTACCCCTGGGTGTGTGTGCGCACAGAAATGGCACAAGTCTTGATAGGCTCACATGGTAAATCAATGCTTGCCAAAGCGGACATACCACCCTCGACCACAAAACCCCAAGCCCCGCAGAACGTACAGTAAGTGTTGTGCCGCCAAAAGCTCGTCAGCACCGCGAAGGTTTTCACAAGCCTTACGAGCCAAAACCCGGCACAAGGCACAAGAAACTAAACAAAGTCGGAACTGCTTTGCACAGGCACCGGCCAGGCTGTGGCATGCATTGGTGGCGAGAAGGGCGAGATTGAGGCATAGCTACCGGCGGGTCGGGGTTATATATATATATTATATATATATACATACATATGATTAGTATTATAATAGTTGTAATAGGGAAAATTATAGTTATTGTTATTATTATTAGGGTTCAGGACTTGCACGTGGCTTTGGTAGGCCAAGTGTGTGCGAGCGAGAGAGAGCGAGCCGGGTCCCCAGAGGCCAGGAGGTCCGACAACCCGCCTATGCCCGAAGGAAGGAAGAGAGAACACGCGTGCGAGAGAGAGAGAGAGAGAGATGTATATAATAACCGTATCTATATATATATATATACACACATATATATATATTATTTCTATATATACCTATATATATATATATAAGGGTGCTTGAGGTTTCAGGAGCTTCTGACTGAACTGCTGTGAGACCCTTGCAGTTCGGTTGAATTAGAGTGTTGACAGTTTGCCGTTTCTGTAGAGTTTCGGTAGGAGGGAGGATGCAAGTCAAAGAACACATCCACCCCCGTTCCGACTCTGCCCAATGACAATCAAAGGCTGGTGTTTTGGGAGAGGCTTGCAATAGTTGTAAACATGGCAATGGCTCCAGCCCTACTGTATCCGGATACCATCATCGGATGTTAAGCCTCGCAGCATCGTATCCACCTCAGGTCAAGCAATATGCGAAAGGGGAATATTTCGGAGAGATTGCGCTTCTCAGCGGCCAGCCGCGTAAGGCCAGTGTGTCGCTTGGCCGCCCGTGTTTGCATGGACTTGGGCAAGCACACGTAGCCACAACCCGGGGAAAAAGGCGAAACGAACAATGCAGAACATCGTTTTATAGGGTTCGTGATGATATCTATAGTGCAGCATACAAGAACCCGACTAAAATTACACTAGGATTATGAAGGCCCTTGGCTTCCAGAAGATCCGCAGAGTTACCGCGAGCTAGGCTAGAAACCATGCGAGAAACCCTAAACCCTAAACCCACTCCGCCTTGGCTATTGAACCCGATTGCGTCATTGGCGTGTGGCCCTACATGCCCCGTGCTTCGTAGGATTTCCACAGCTTTATCCCCCTATATCCCAAGCCCTTAATGTTCTCATTGGGTGCGGTGCGAGTGTCAGAGTCGAAAGTCGAAAGAAAAGCAAATTTAAGATCCCAAGCCCCTACGCCCAGGTATGCAGTTGGCAAAGCGACTTGTTTCTTGGCTGATTCATGGGGCTTAGTGCTTACAGGGTGCTGCATGGGGGGTTTATGAAAAGGTGCAGCGCTGTTGGCTTGGGGCATCCGGGTGCATAGGGTCTGCTGAGCTCCCGAGGCGTCAAATTCAGAAAGGAATTTGGAGTCCCTTCTGCGGCGTGCAGAAGGGCAGATGACCCGTCCGCAGAAGCATGTCGTGGCTCTTTCCCGAGACAACCTGGCACCAAGGTCTTCCTCAACCCAACCCTGAACTCAAGGATCCCGGTACCTCCGAGGTTTCTATATCACCCGGTCGACCTTTCGACGAATCCTGGGACCTCTTCAAAGCTTCCTGGAGAAGAACATGGACAAGTACGTCGCGGCCTTGGGGCCTTCAGCGTGTAGACGCAGCCCGTCTGACCTGATTCGACTCCCCTCCCTGCGCTCAGGCCAAGTACCAAGATGCCATGAAGGAGGGCGTCAACGAGGATCTTTTCTTCAGCTGACATGAGGTATAGCATCTTGTGTCTTGAGCATGGAGGTCAGATTGTTGATGTTGGGGAAGCGGAGACCATGGCAGCATGGCTCTGAATTTCATGCGCGTGCCAAGAGTTTTTGCTCAAGTCTGCAGGGTGCCTTTGGAAGATTCACCATATCTTCAGCATCGCTTCGCTCATGGCTCGGGTCGAGTGCCGCTTCACCTTCCTCGACGTCCTCTTGGATGATGAAGAGCGCGTTTTGGACATGAGGCGCAACCGCGCACGCAGCGAACCTCCCCGTGCTTGTTCGGACATGGTCAACGAGGATTACACGGCAGAGAATGATTCGACACCCCAGGCAGACCAGACAAGCGCCGATGTTTCGGGGTTTCAGCCAACACCGGAGCCTGCCTCGGCCGTTATCGGCAACGAGGGGAGCATCGGGCATCCCATCCTTTGCAAGCGCCCTTGCGTTCATGTTGCAAAGGGAGGGTCATGCCCGCTTGAGGACACATGCCCTTACTGCCACTTCCCACACCGCGTCCTACACAGGCCCAAAGAGGAGCAGCGAGCTTTCATGAAGAAGATGCCGACTGCGGAGCTCCTGAGCACCATCTTGGTGCTGCTCCAGGAGAAGGCCCAGGCCACAAACCTCCAGGGCACTGGGCCTCTCTTCGATGTGCTTCGTGCGGAAATCCAAAAGCAAGAGCGGCCAAAGCCGACCGCATGTGGTCATGACCCGGCGAAGAAGCGTCTTCTGCGTGGTCTTCGGCAGACGATGCAGAAGATGAATTTCACCGGCTTGGCAGGCATGGCAGTGAGCAAGTGCGAGGGAGCCTGCCAGACCGAATTAGTCCAAGCGATCGAGCGCTTGCGCATGTAATTGGGAGGCACTTGCGGCAGTGAAGGTTCTAGGTGAACATCGTCATGATACAGCATGATTGCCCGCAGATTATCCGACACGCTCTTATGGGTCAGCGTGATGGGGTTGGCCCCCCAATGAATTGCTTTAAGCTCCGGATGGGAGGACGACCAAATCTGATTTTCTCCCAACAACTACGCATCTGATCTTGTGCAGCGTATTGGCGGCGTGGGTTTCCCTATCATAGTATAGCGAGCAAGCAGCACCACAGGCAGAACAGCCATGCTGACCAAAAGAGCCATCTCCATCACAGCAAGTAGTAAGTAGTAGCTAGCAATGAATGGAAGCACAGTGATACGGGACCACGTAGTCTTATAGCAACAAGAAATACCAAGAACAAACACTACATGCTCTCATGGCAGTTGCAGTACGAACAGTAGTGCAGGCAAAATGTGGTAGTAACGAGAGTGGTAGCGGCCAATAGCAGTAGCTGCGATGGCTGTAGCAGTTGCAGCCAACCAGGTTGGGATTCACAACAAGAGTTTTAGAAAACACCAGAAAAGCAATGCTTGCAGTCATAGCACTCATAGCATGAGAAGCGATGGCAAGGAAACCGATTTCACCGGTGCTTAGCAGCCTCGTCAGAAAGCAGGACACGTTGCATCATCACTGCGGCCCACCTTAACATAGCGGTTCCTCGCAGCCACGGAAATCACAACCTTAAACAATGCCCTAGTCAGAGGCACCTGCAGAGATTACGCTGCGTTTGGTCGAAACGAACCCAGACACCACATCCGGCTCGGGGACTTTGTGTCGGCACGGAATAGGATAGTGACCGATGAGGGCTGAGCACCGCGTCGCTTCTTGCTGTTCAATCTTGCAGACACCCCATCTCGGAAGGTCGGAAGCCATCCGGACTGGAATGCGTTCCTGCACGTACAGATGCATGATCACGAAGGAGTTTCGGGTGCTGGCGCTACCAGTCATGCAAATGCTCCAGTCAGGTCCGTCCGCATGTGGAGGAGATAGAAAGCCACTTCATCGATCAGTGCTAGTGGCACATGCACACGATTAATCCAGAGTATTATATCGTATCGATCAGATGCGGCATGCTGCAGCGCAGACAGTACCTGCAGCTAGCAGGCTTCCGTGTCCATGTTCAGGACATGCATTTTTGAGGCTTTGCTGGCTTCGCCGCAGTTTTCGTAGCCAGTCCTTCCTTCTACCACCGCAGTCGGCAAGGTTGGTCCGTGCTGTGCTTAGCTGTCGCTGTGACCACGACAGGCCTGGCGGCAGGCACAGACGATTTCGGATGGTGAAAATCACCACGTGGCTCCGTCCACCGCGCGTGATGCGCATTGCCACATTTCGGAAATTCTTTGTGCGTGTGTTGTTGCACATCCTCTCTGGAACCCAACCCCTGGCGCGGCAGAATAAGATCTTCAGAGCTAGTGACTCTTAGTAGCAGAACTTGCAGTTCGGCACGCCGTTCCGAAGACCGCAGTCAGTGGTGCGGCTTTGTGGCTGGAGCCGGAGGGGCAATGCAGTCGCTCTCGGTCAGTAACCAGGAGGCCTCCGTGACATTTTTTGAGGCTTTTTGATGACCTTGCATGCTCAGGGCCGCCTGTTCGCAGCGGCTTTCACTGTGTAGTTCGACTGTCCTCCTGTCGAGCGAGCAAGGCTCGCAGCAGGAGCTTTTAAGATCGTAAGGTCTTTGAATTTGGGCGAGATCCAGACTTTGGCGTATGCCACAACGCGCGTCAGGCGCCCTTTTGGAGTCAGGCTGGAAGTTGCGAGAACCGGGCCCGGGCCCCCACGCTCTACTGGATGATTCTGGGCGCAGTATAAGTAGAATTTGCAGATTGACATCCAGGAAGCTGCGGCCGCACAGCTCGTTTGATCTCCGACCATGAAGTCTTAATTTCGACTGCAGGAGCATCTGTTGCTCGCCCCTTAGAAGAGCACTTATATAAGTCCTCGAAGCGACATGTGTTCGCTTTTGGTGCGCTGCGCCTTTCCTCCCTTGCGTACTCGAAGGTTCCGCACACTACAAACACTGAGGTTGTTCATACACAGTTCTAATAAATGTATAAACGGGTCTAAGGCTTAGGAGGTTTAGGGTCTAGCTAGCCTGTGTCTAGGTTATAACTTATAATGGTACACGTCCAGTTGTCACTATGTGGTGATCGCGCCTGCACTGTACACATGTCCGTGAGACTTCAAGTAGCGGCACCTCAGAGGCAAAAGAGTCTGTACTGATGTGAGATTCTGGCCAGGTCGGAAACTCAAGGATGCAGGGAATAGAATAGGGTTTAGAATCTGGTGTTTAGGCAAGCTGGACCTCCTCAAGGCCTGCCCATAAGCCTTCCATCCTCTGAGCCCAGAACGCTTGACAACCCGCAATCCGAAGCCCCGAAGCTCAGTACTCCGAAACGGCCCAGGGTTAGTAGGATGTCTTATGTCTATCGGATTTCAGTTTTTAAAGTTTTCGAGGTTCAGGGCATACCCGATAAAACCCGATCCCGGATTCCAGGAGGATGAGAAGAAGGAGGGGGCTCCGCAGGAGAAGAAGCAAAAGGCCTGGTTTAGGGTTTAGGGCTTATAAGGTTTAGGAATTTAATAAACCCTATCAGGGTAAGCTTTAAACCCAAAATCCTACGTCGCTTGAATGAGGTTTCTATCAAGATTGCTAAGCTACATACCTCAAGCCCTCATCCCGGTCCCCTTGTAATCCTAAAGGTTTAGGGGTTCAGCGGGGCTTCAGGGGTTTAGGGTTCCAGGGCTGAGGGTCTCTTCGAACAGACCGTCCGAAAGCGGGAGAAGAAGGGCGAGGACCTTGACAAGATCGAGCGGCTCGGTGGGTTAAAGCATCATATAAAAAGGGGTCTGAGTAAATGGCGCAGAGAAATTATGGGGGTTTAGGGTTTAGTGCTGAACTTATATAGTCCGTGCCACTAAAATCTGCAGTCTCATATGCAACCCCAGTGCTAGGCTCCAATGCTCGTTACGTAAACGTGTTTAAGGTTTAGGTTTTGCCCGGCCCACCAAGTAGTGGTTCCTGAGGAGATCCGGGGTCGCTTCATGGCTTTGCAGCCCGGGGCTGTGATAATGGCACAACTAAGCTCATCCCAGCCCCGAAATTGGTTGCACAGGGTTTAGAGTGTCTGATAAAGCTTCAAACAACCCCAAGAATTTGGGAGAGGCGCGGAATGCTCGCGGCATCTCCTCCTAATCAAGCCCATGTATGCCCTGTAAGCCCTTGTACAGTTCCTTTCTGTCGGTCAAAGGATTTGTGAACTCCGCACACTCCTCTCCCCCTCTCCCCCCTCCCTCTGATTCACCCTCCCCCTCCACTCCCTCACACTCACCCCTCCTCCCCTCCCCTCCCTTCCCCTCCCCCTCCCTCTCTCCCTTCGTCTCTCTGCCTCTCTCTCTCTGTCTCTGTCCGTGTTTCTCTCCCGTGGCGGCAACTCCAACACTTGAGATATCCGCCGCCAAACTAAACCAGCTCGAAGCGTGTTGCAAAAGTCATCGGACCGAGAGGCAAGGACAAGAACATGGGTGATATCTTCAGTTTTTATTATGATATGTGCGCAATTGCAAGGGGTTACTACAGATGATATGTCGATTGTGCTTCTTAGGGGCGTTTAGCGGAGAAGTGCCGAAACCGCATAAACCTGAGACCCCTCAGAAGCTCCAGAGACTAAGCCCTCGCTCCCCGACTAAGCCTAAAACCCTAAAGCCTAGAGCCCGAAACCCTATACCAAATTTGCGAAGCCTAAACCTTAGTGACCCTTTACGCGGTGAGCCCTAAACCTCAACCCTAAACCGCTAAAGTTAGGCCCTACCTATAGGCTTCATTATACTTCCTTTTTGTGGTTTGTAGTTAGGATCCTATAACATCCTATAACGTAAATCCAAAAAGGAACTATGGGTAAAGGTCTTAGGCATATATGTTGTGAAGGCAGTCTTGAGCTCTCTTGTGTGTTCGCTTGCAACAGACCTCGAACCACATGCCTCGCCTGAATTGTCCGAGTGTGAGCGCCGAAACCAGCCCTAATCCCTGAATTCAATCGTTAAGCCCTCACTTCAACCTTCTGCATACCCTATGGACCCGAAAGCCAAAATCGTAAAGCCTCTAAGCCTTAACCCCCTTATTGTCACTTTTACAACCCTCTGAGCTCTAAACTGCCCTAAATCCCACAAGAAGGTGTTCTACCCCTTATAGAACCCTTAAACCCTACACCCTAAACCCTACACCCTAAACCCTAAATCCCTAAATCCCTAAACCCTAAACCCTAAATCCCTAAACCCCTAAACCCCTAATCCCTAAACCCGATGAGTTCTAAAC